CCCAACAACAATCCGGGTCCTCATTTCACCCACCTCAGAAGGATGGAAGGCTGAGTCAACCCTGAGCCGGTGAGATTTGAACAGCCGAACTGCAGCTAGCAGTCAGCTGAAGTGGCCTGCAGTGCTGCACTCTAACCACTGTGCCACCTCGGCTCTAAACCGTCCTGGTTATTAAATGGATGTCGCCGATTTTGTGATCTTTTCCTAAATGTTTGTTAAATAAACATAGTGCCCACTGCCTGCAACCAAGTTCTGAAATGAGTGTCATAAAGTCCCTTTTTCAGGGCTCGTTACAAACTTCGGTCACTAAACAAATCGGTCATAAGTTGGGGGACTGCCTCTCAAGCCAAGTCCAGCAGCTCTTCCCACCAACTTGGGGGAACTCACAGCTGCGTGTGGGTTGCCATTGTGTTCCAGCCCTGCGCACGCACATTTGCCGGCCCCGTCAAGCTTGCACCGAAGACGCAATGACACAATTGCCAGCCTCCTTTTTTCCTGAAGCGGCGTGCATGGCTTCTTGTGCAGCTCAATGAGGCATCGCTTCTGGGCCGCTTTCGCGCATGCACCGCATGAGGTCATGCGCCTCCAGTGCACCTCCCCCACCCCCCCCCTCCCCGCTGGCTTAGCCTCCCTGGTGCAACTTTTATCTCTGGGCTCCCAGGGAGCATGAAACGGAGAGGCTTAAAATTCCACGCGACAAATGATGCTGGGAGGAGGGGAGGGGACACACACACACACACACACACACAACCAGCGCACTACACCCCGTCTCGTTGGGTTTATTTTTATCCCGGCCAAAAATAGCTCTACTTCAGCTAAGCTAAACATAGTTTTCTCTGCAGCAGGGCCTCTGTGCACAGAGATCTGCCTGGAGGGTGAAGGAAAAGTGGGAGGGGGGGAAGAGAGGAATGAAGGTGGCTTGATTTATTAACAATAAGTGAGCTCTTCATTTGTGTTACTTTTGTTCCAGATGTTATAGTATATGATTTGCACGTTCTCTCCCTCTCCCTCCTTCCCTTCCTCCCTCTCCCTCTTATCTATCAATCTATCT